TGTTAAGGCGACGCATATTAATTTAAAGGAACCTGAGGCAATCAGCGATGTCGTCGAGAATACTACCAACTATTGGACAGGAAGGTCTTCCATATTTTTTGCCGTCACCACAATGTGTACAATAGGCAAGTAAAGTATATGCTATCCGGTATATTAGCTTCATCAACGCGTAAGGTTCTAAGGAAGGTAGCTGAGCAAATAAATAAGGACCAGAGCCTTGTGTTCTTTCTTTTGTACTTCATTTGTACGTCACTGAAATTATGGGGCCTGTTTGATCCGTTTCACAGCCACTGTCATTACGTGAGGGAAATTTGGCTTGCTAGCAGGAAGAACATATGCTTTCATTAGTGACATGTTCTGCGTACTCACTGACACTGGAGTGTAGGTAGGTTGAGCATGTAGTGCCTGTTTCTTAGATGTGATGTTCCTTGTGCAATTGGCTTCAGCAATCTGAAGCTACTGGCAATGCTTTGAAGAAAGTGGATCACTCACATAGGTTGCCTGATATTATATCAGTAAAAGATTAAAACTCTGATTTGTTAAATAGGTCTCCTTCTGGTTAAAATTAAATTTGCATTGTAAAATAAATGATATCATATCGAATAAGTTGACAATTGATAAAAGACTCCATAGGCTTCCGCGCGTGGTATTTTGTTTTGATATTTTAGTCTCTTATGATTCTAGACTTTCAGGCACTACAATGAACCATGTATCCATCCAAATGGAAAGAAATAGGACGAACAATTGCCTAACTTAAAATTACGGATGACTGCACATGCAGCCCTAAGTCATCTCTCTGCATTGTGTTCCATTGTGTTCCATTGTGTTCTTCTGACATAGGCCTGGGGAGGTTACGAGCAGCTTCATGTTCGAATGTCTAGGTTTTTAAGTCAAAGAATTGCTGTCGCGGTAGTACGTTGGACATTAGTTCTGCTGCCGTCGAACTTTCGCAGCGGCCGTTCCGAAGTAACGTGTTGAGTGGTCTGATTTCCATGGCCGCAGTCACTCTGCTGGCTGGACCTCACCGTTCAGCAGTAGAAGAGGAGTCCGCAACAAATGTTGTCCTGCTGAATCTAGTTTAAACAGAACCATTCTTGACGAATGAGGTGCATGCTAGAAAGTTCTGAGTTAGAGCTGAAGGTAAGTTCTTTGGTATGGAAGGTTAAAGCGTGATACTCTGCACGTCACTGTTCCTCGAGACTCAGTCATGGCATCGCCACTCATTTTCATGGTGGGTGGCGTGATTTCAGAAGTCATGTCGGCGTCTGGTGCTGTATGGATGGAGAGCTCGGGCTGTGGTGAATGCATCGTTCCATGATACAGATTTCTTTAAAAGATATTGCCGTTCTAGTTCTTATAACTTGTTAGCAAACTTGTCGAGAATACTGACTCTGCGCAGTACATTTATTCCGAATTTATGGCAAGTGGTTTGTTTCCTCCGTGGTTGCCTCGCTTTCCATTTCTAATGCTTGAGCAGTGCATTTCTGGCCAGTTTTGTTACCGTAGTGTTGAAGGTAGCCATTTCATCACCGACCACCTGGATTATTTTGTCCAATGGTCATCGACGACGAATCGCGCCGGCCACAGCACGTAGTGATTCCCCAGATTTTAAGCCTTCTCCCTCCAAACGTGGCTTGCCCCTCTCCTGGTATAACCCTACC